GCCGTGCCTCGCTGTGCCATGGCCAGAGCGCTCTGCTCCGTTGTGCCGCGCCAAGCCGCGCCGTGCCGTGCCGCTGCCGCAGTGCCGCCGCCGCGCCGCGACTGGCGCGATGGCCTAGGGAAAGGCAAGGGGCTCTGCGCCGCTCCGCGCTCCGTGCTCGGCCGCTGCCGGCCCGGCCCGCCTGGCTGGCACGGCTTGGCTCGCCGCGCCCGCGCCGCGCGCAGCCCACGGGGCACGCCGCGCCGGCCGCGCCAGGCCCGCGCCGCGCGTGTGGACGCCGTGTCCGTCGACGTGTCGACGCCGTGTCTACCGTGTCGACGCCGTGCCGTGCATCGCCTGACCGCGAATCTCTCGTGTGTGGGACGTCTCCTCTCCGCGGACATCGCCCGCCGCAGCCGCAGGCGCCGCGGGCGCCGCCGTAGTGACGTCGCCAGGTACCACCGCAGCGGGGCAGGCACCGGCAGGCCGTAGCGCCTGGCATCACCTCGCCGGCGTTGTTCCTGCGGTGCCGGCCGTGCCCTGGATCCTGCAGCGGGATGTGCATGAGGTCCCCCCGAGGCCTCAGCCGCTCCTTCCGCCGCCCCTGCCCCAGCCGCCGCCGCACCACCCGCAGCTGCCGCCGCCGCCCCACCAGCAGCCGCCCCCGCCGCACCACCTGCAGCACCGGGAGCACCCCCGCGATCACCCCCACCAGCAGCAAGGCCCGCCGGGGCCACCGCATCAGGCTCATCAGCAGCCGCCCCCTCAGCATCCTCAGCAACAACAACAACAGCAGCAGCAACAACAACAGCAGCAACAACAGCAGCAACAACAACAGCAGCAACAACAGCAGCAGCAGCAACAACAGCAGCAGCAACTTCACCCCGGCGCACCACCGCGAGTCTCTCTTGGCCATATCAGTTCAAGTTCAGGTCGACCCTGGTCTCTGACTGAGGAGCAAAAACAGCGTAAGCGTGACCGTGAGAAGCTGCGAAGGCAGCTCAACCGCCACACGCTGTCGGAAGAACAGAAGCAGAGGAAGAGGGACCGGGAGAAGCTGCGGCGCGCGCTGGGCCTGGTCCCCCAGCTGACGGAGGAGCAGAAGCGCCGCAAGAGTGAGCGCGAGAAGCAGCGCCGCGCCATGCTCAAGGAGGCCGGCCAGCTGCCCGTCCGCATCCGAGGCAAGAAGGCGCTCGCGGCCCGCGATCAGCAGCTCGCCGAAATCCAAACCCAGCAGCAGCTGCAGCAGCTGCAGCAGCAACACCAGCTGCAGCAGGAGCAGCTAGCGCAACAGCAGCAGCAGGAACGGCTTGCCCTGCTCGAGCAGCACTCGACCAACTCGGGCCCGTACCACCCCCACCACTTGCTGCTGCTCCACCACCACCATCTGCATCCGGGGCACCATTTGCACCCCGGTCACCCCCTGCACCACGGCCACCTGAACCCCCACGGTAGCCAGAACCCCGAGAGCGGGGGTGGTGCAGGGGGTAGTCTAGGGGGACACCTGACTGACCTGCAGCAGCTGAGGCTGGGCCAACTGGGACAGCGCGACGACAACAAGTCACCCATCAAGAGGTCGCGGCTGTCGGAGGAGCAGAAGGCCCGGAAGAGGGAGAGGGAGCGACAGCGCCGGGCCATGATGGGCCAGTGGCGTGTGGTGACCGAGGAGCAGCGCGCGAGGAAGCGGGAGCGCGAACGGCAGCGGAGGCTCATGAAGCTGTGCGTGCTCTCGGAGGAGCAGAAGGCCCGCAAGAGGGAGTACGAGCGGCAGCGGCGCGCCATGCGCTCGCTCATGCGCGTCCAGCAGCCGCCCAGGGACGACGACCCCAACGCCACCTCCATGGTCGTGCCCGTCGCGCCCAGCGCCGTGCCCATCATGTCCGGGGAGCAGTAGCCATGGCTGTGCGTCCTGGAGAGAGCGAGGGGGACGCGGTTTGACCCCGAAAATAGGCGCTTCGAGTGGTACGTGTGTTGTCCAGTCTGGGGAATTCCCAGGAGAGTGTAACAGGCAGCTGCTGATATACCCCGCGCTCTTTTGTAGGTATTCTGTAGGCCTGTGCGGCGCCGTGGTCAGGGGCGATAGGCAACCCCGCACGCACGCCTGCGTGCGGTACAGTGTAACTACAGAAGTGCGCGGGATTTAGTATCAGCCACCTGGCATGTGTGTCAGAAACTCCAACAAAAAGTAACATTGGTTTTGTTTTCAGGACTGACAACGTCCGAGAGCCATCGCATTTGGTTTCATCCGAGAACTTGGCCGCCTCTTCGGTAATTTTCCTAATCCAGTTAGTTGGGAAACCCCGGTATTATATTTTGCACTAGTACCATGCAGGCCTGTCGCCGGGTTCTGATCCTAATGCGAAGTATAACTTCATACAAAAGACTGTGTTTATCATACCCTTGCACCGATAAACGAAATTAGGGCTATTGTTAATCGGAATGATTTGTTTTTTTCGGCAGACCTGGAATACTGCAACGTCTGCCGCATTTTCAACACCCAACCCTGGCAGTCGGATCAGGAAAAGCTTATCCCCGAGGAGAGCCCCCCAGTGGCTGCTGCATCCCGGGAGCAGGGACCAAGCTCTCCCCGACTCGACTGCGGCGCGCCTGCCCGCGCCCTGCCCCCCCTGGCCCGTGCACGCGAGGGCAGCTCCGGGGACAATCACGACGTGAACCTGACCTCCCCGGCGTGCCCGCGGCGGTGCCCGGGCCCGGGGCGGTGCCCTGCTTGCCACACCTCTCTCCGGGACTCCCACGAGGCTAAAGCCCGCCCAGCCATCCGGAATGGACCCGAATCCTCCGTCTCGTTCCTCAAAGCCACGTTAATTCTAATTTCTTTATGGACTGGTGATCTCATTATAAATGCGTTACTAAGTATGCTGTGTCGAGTGTTGAAAACAAATGTGTGCGTTGAAGTGTAACTTCTGATAATTGTAATCAAGCCTGATGGCAAGTACCCTAGCTAATGTTACCACTTTGAAGCATATCCCGAGTTTTATTCTACTTCTTCTACACCTTACTCTGTTTCAAGTACCGTAGATTTCTCCTGTTTTAATTATTGATTGTTTTTGTTTTATAGACATAGTATCACTGCTCTCTTCAACTTTATCTAATTTGGGGTATGCTGAGTTATCTGTAATCTGGTAGGACTGAGTATGTTTTATTGAATCTTATTGACGAAAGAAATACTGTATTGTAGCATTCACAAGGCGCTAATGCTACTCAGCATAATATTGCTTCAAAAAACTCTCTGTTCTTGATGTATTTGTGTTGCGAGAATACAAGTATTTATTTTGTTTTATTGTGACTACGTATTTTTACCAAAAAAGATAGAAAATACACCACATATTTATTATGTAAATGCACAAAGAATATTTTACAGACATACACTGTGTGAAAGTACATAATATGTAACATTACTGATTCATAGAGAATAGTTGGAGTAAATTCGTAAAGATACTAACTATACCTTTCACCTGCATAAAAATGAAATAGGATTGCGTCAGATATATAAAAACAAGTCACAAAATAATATGAAGAACACAAATTTTCACTTAAGCTTTCGGTCAAAGCCTTTAAAAATAATTCTACACGAGCTATGTGTAGAGCAAAAGTAGCACACTCATAGAAAGAACCCTGCCGCTCTGTTCATTGGTCTTCGCACTTTGACAGGTCGCAGGCGGCGCGCGCGAGTCGCGGAGTTCCTAACAGGGGGTGAGGGTCGCGGTGGCCTCCTGGAGGCCCGATGGCGTGTGGAGGATGCCCGTCCCCGACGGGCAGGTGCGGCCTGGCGTGAGGTGCGGGGCCGGGGCGGCGGCTCTACAGCGGAGGAGGCCGCGGGCGCCGGGTCCAAGGGGCAGTGCAGGTCGCCGCAGGGAGTCTCCACGCGGGTGCGCGGGGGGCTGTGGGAGGCCAGCGGGCAGCGCTCCGTGCAGCAGGGCACCGGGACGACGCTCGCGCGCCACCTGCCCGGCGCCTGGACGGGTCTCGGCGGCGTGGTCACTATCCGGGGCTGCGGCAGCTCCACGGCCTCCGCGGTGTTGCCGGTGGCTTGGCCGGCCTGCGGCACGTCTTGCTTGGCCAACTTACGGCAAGCGGCCGATTTTGCAGCAGATTTGACGTGGGGGCGGGTGTCAGGGGCGTTAAAGGGAGTGGGCGGTTCGGCTAGCGTCGCCGGTGGGTCAAGGGGCGAGGGTGGCACCAGTGTTCTGGTGGTCCTCTGGGGCCGAGGAGGGTCTCGCGGAGGATCTGTGAACGGTTCTCTGCGAGTTGGTCCGGCCGGGCGCACCGTGACCCGGGGGTTAGCAGACCGCACGGGGATGCGAGATTTCAAGGGCCCTGCTGCTGGCCTCTGAAGAGCCAGTGCCTTCCTCAAGCGGGCGGGCTCCATCGGGCGCCGGATGTGACTGATCGTTCTCTGCGGGCTGGCCGGGTCGCGAGGAAGCGGTGTGGTCTTATTGACAGGGCACTTCGTCTGCGGCTGATCCACGGCGACGGGCTTCTGTACTAAAGGCCTCACAGGGGCCGCGGAACGAACATCCGGAGAAGGTTTGAAGGTAACGCGGGTCGAAGCAATGGGTACCGCGTCCATAGGCCCGCGGGATGGAGCCGAGGATGGAGTCGAGGATACCACACTCACGGGACCGCTGGGCAGCGCTGATGTTGTCGCACCAGGTCCTCGAGGAGACGCCAAAGGTGCCGCGCGGACTGGTCCACGGGATGTCACCGAGGGTTTCACACCCAGAGGTCCTCGGGACGGCGCCGCAGGTTGCGGACCCATAGGTCCGCGGGGTGGCGCCGTGGGATGCGCTGCCATAGGTCCGCGGGAATGCACCGCATGTTGCTCACTCACGGGTACGCGGGATGGCGTCGTAGGACGCGCTCCTACAGGAACATATCCAGTTAGCATTTTTCACGGTGATTCCGCACTATGCACGGCGCGGAGGCGATGCATGCATCGTGCACGCACGATGCACGGTGCACGATGCACGATGCTCGCGCATGATGCATGCATGATCGTGCATCGTACATCGATGCATGCCTCGTTCGTTCATCCGTGCATGCACGATAATTTCTGTCAGGGCCGGGGAGGGGGGCGGGGGGCGGTTAATTTTCATTTCACGTGTGGTTGGTACGACCTACGACTCCCTAACACGGAACACATTACCGTGTCTACTAGAATCCTCTAGCTGCACACAAGCACACTCCGGCCCAAACCGTGGACTAAAATTTCTCCGACTACTTTCCGGCTGCCGGGTTTCTTCTTCCTTTTGTTCTCCTTCCCTCCTTTATGGCCCTTTACATATTTCGTTTGATCGCGGTGCGAACAAGTTGAGTCGACTCGGGAGTCGTAGGTCGTACCAACTGCAAGTGAAATGAAAATTACCCCCCCCCTCCCCGGCCCTGACAGAAATTATCGTGCATGCACGGATGAACGAGGCATGCATCGATGTACGATGCACGATCATGCGTGCATCATGCGCGAGCATCGTGCATCGTGCACCGTGCATCGTGCGTGCACGATGCATGCATCGCCTCCGCGCCGTGCATAGTGCGGAATCACCGTGAAAAATGCTAACTGGATATGTTCTAGGGCTGAATAGAGGAGGTTTGGCAGGAGCAGGAGGGCGCTGGACAGGAGGCTTGGCACGCTGCAAGGCAGGCTGGGTGGGGCAATGGGAAGGATGCTGGACGACGCTGGACAGGAGACTGAAAAGGG